TATTCAGCTTTGGGTTGAGCTAATAAAATGATTCTGATCATTCTGCTGAATTTATGCTTTTCAGCATGAATCTACAGGGCATAAAGCCTATCCATGCTTCAAAGTGCAAGGCCCTAATTCCTTTTGCTCACGTGCAACTTCTCTGCATTGGAAGTTTTATATAATTCACTTCTCTGTATTCTTTCATTTCCAATTATATTCCTCCCAGTGAAACTTTCTTTTATTTTAATTTTCTTTCAATACTTTGTATAAAACAGAGGCACTAAAGTGGTGCTAAAAGAAGGAACAAGAAAGAGATGGAGGAATTACAATTAGATAATAAGAAGAGTATTTTAGGGACTATACCAAGGATGCTGCCAATGCACAAAATGTTCTTGATACTCTAGAGGAGCATGATAAGGAAAAAATACAACAGTCTTGCCATGTAAGATCTGACTATCCTACAAAAACATAGGTTAAAATGTCATGTCAGGGTAAGAAATCCTGTTAAGGATGTTAATCAACCAGAGATCCCTGCCTTGAAAAGAGAGCAGATTTGTGGACTAGTTCCAAGGGGACTGTTTGCACTTAACAGAATTGCTGATATCTATAATCCATGTTATGTAGGTAACGCTTGCTTCTAATAGCGACACAACTTTATCTACTGATATGACAAAGATACAAGGAGAACACTACATGCTGAAATACGCACTTGTATTTTACCTGTAGTCCCATTTTTTTTATTTGATTTGTCAGCTGACTTGTCCGCTGCATAGCCAATTTTTTCCTTCTCTGCTGGTATTTCAACTTGATAACACATGTAGAATAAGATAGAGAGTTCAAGACCAGAGAAACCAATACTTACTATCCTTCATATTAAAAGTTTTACTGATTACTGCCTAAACAAGAAACCCCCTACCATTTGTATTGCTGCTACGACTATAGTAGCTATTAAATTGGCAGCCAACACAGTGCCACTTCCTCTCCCCCAATCTTTTGGCAGAACAATTGCCACAATATACTCCAGGACATATAGCAGCCAGTCATGCTGCTCCTGGATCAGTTCAGGATTGAGCCTGCACCCTTCTAATTGCTCCTTTGCCACTGAACTGCCAAGATGTCCTCTGACAGAAATGAGAATGGTGCTGGAAAACTTACCATACAGACTGTATGGGACAGGTAATGACCATTTAAAATCCTTGTTGCAAAAGGAGTTTAAACCAGTGAACAAGCTTTGCTTGCCCTTTTTTTTTTTTAATAATCTTTATATTTCTAAGGTTCTTAGATGTCTGCTTGATATTTATTTCAACAGAGCTTTTCAGACACGTTACTGTTAAAGTACAGGCTCTAGGTAACTCTCAAAAAAATTCGTATCTTTACTGTACTTACCCTAAAGGTTAATCAGAAGCCACTCCCACAACAAATACACCAAGATGATGCATTTTGAGGTAGCTTGTTTAATCTGAACCAAGTACCATAGCACTGGGTCAAGACACACACAGAGTAAAGGAACAAGTCTGAATGGGACTATACAAAAGAGCATGCAGCTTCTGAAGTGTATGTTAAGAGAAAACTGAATAGAAAAAGCCTAGTACTACAGATGACACTGGAGAACTATCAAAACTTCCTTACCTGGGCTTTAACGATATTGTCACAGAAAATAACTATCTTTTAAAAAACTCAAGTAAACAAAAAAAAAATTCTTTTCTTTCTCACCTACAGGCAAGCAAGATTCAAAGGAAGTGTAAACAGAGGTGAAAGAATTTTTACATGAAGATAACTGTGGCAGGGAAACGGGAAGAGTTAAAACCCAGATAAGAGAAAAAGATCACCCTGCAGGGCCTACAGTACATTTAGTTATGTGAACGAAGAAGTCACTTCTCAGCCACAACAAAACTTCAGATAATTTCAAGACATGTAAACTAGAGATATATTTAACTGAAGAGTTATGAATATGTTTATATAGAATCAAATGTTCCATTACAGTTTGTAATTCACTTTTGCTACAGGTGAAAAATAATTTCCTTATGTATTTCTTGTTCTTTCAGTAACTCATCTTCACCTCTTTCCTTCTTTTCTACTGAGCAATATTATTAAAAGTAGTACGCATTATAGAATCAATATGCTATATATTTTCATTTATATACTGATTTGATACACATACATCAATATATATGTAATGTATGTAATACAGTATACTAAACTGTTAATTCTATTTTGTATTATAAGGCACATTTCCTTTGAACTCTGTTTAAGGAAAATGATTCTATGTGTTCCAGAAAACCGTCCTTGCTCGTGAGACGTGGATTACCAGAGAAACACCAAGCACTAATTTTGGTCTTCAATATTATTGCCTGTTATCTACCAGTCTGACACCATACAACACACAAGAACAAAGGTAGCTTCTCAGACAAAAGGAGAGTCTGGATTTCAAAGGTGGTGTTTTATCTGAAAAACGATGTACATCCTGGCCATACGCAAGTAGAAGTGAAAAGAGACAAAAATCAGGTTGGACTCTGGACTGTGCTGAAAAGCCATTCATCCACCAAAGAAGTAAAACCAGAGGAGGACAAATATACACGTATTACTGCATGTGACCTTGCTCTTTGTAAGTGCATAAGAAAGCACATAATGTATATATTTAACAAAAGTATTTTCCAAAGTAAGAATTCCAGAATTTAAGTAAGTTGCAAGTGTAAGAGAAGCTTTTAAATACTCATTACAGGCACAGACCAATTATGAGTTAACGAATTAATGAGTTAACAAGTCCCCATTAAGGAATTTGGAAACTAAGCCCTTCAATGCTTTATTGGAGTATCTGAGGCATGATAAACCCTGGAAAACAGATTTCATATGGAAAAAAAAAACAAGCATCCAAAGTTATTTACAGAGTGAACGCATAGTCTTGATGCTCTTAAAACAAACCAAAAAAAATCTCCACCATCTAACAATAAACACCATTATAAAATACCACCAGTGTTTTTAATGCAAAAGACTGGGAACCTCTGTGTTTTCTATCTGGCTGACTTAATTATTTTAAGAACTTAGTATTTTATCAGCCTGCCCAAATGCACACAAGCTCCTTACACTTATATTATACTATCAATCTAGATTAGGGAGCTTATTAAATGGTTTATATGTAGCTATAGGGGTAAAGCAGCTATTTCTTAAGAACATGGTTTTAGAAAGTTAAATATAAGCAGAAGTATTTTACTCTTGCAAGCAACTTTATCCTGTCAAACAAAAGGTAATAACTAAGACCAACCAGAACAGATAAAGAGAAAACAAGCAAAAATTTCAAAGCCCCCAACAGATCACAAAAATATTTCTAATATAAAATGGAATGATAGTATCTTTAAAAACATCATCGCATGCTGTGGTTCCCTCTTGTTTAGGCATCCAAGGCTATAACACTGTTGGTTCTACAGTTAACCCCTTCTTGAGACTGACTAGTAACTATGTCTGAAGGGAGATTACAGTTTTTAAAAACAAAATAGCATGTGTTAGACTGGAAAATTTATTAATTATTTTCTAAAAACCACCTGTGCACCAAATAGAACCTGTTGGTTCTCGCTGTGATCTGTGAGCTTCTTTCTTCGAAGGAAGAGATGCAAACAACTTTTTCCAGCACAGATTTAAGACTATCCTGGTCATCATGCAGAAGCAAAATGCTTGTGGGAAGAAGAAATTTAGCTGTAAACCCTTCCCCTTTCAGAATACAGGTTCCGCTGTCAGGGAAATCACTGATGCCCCAAAGCATTAATGGACTCTGTCTCGTTCCTGCAGCATGATTGGCCAGCATGTAACTGCTTCGTCGGTTGCTAGGAAGCAATGAGCTCATTACACGGCATCATCCGCACCCTCCACAAGGATGCTGGCACACGCTTCCCATCTGGGGATACTACTGACTGAAGTAACGGCACTGGAGTGCCTGCCAGTCTTCAGTCTCCCGGGGTGGACTATGCCAATACAGCAGGTGCTAACTTTTGCTCTACCGTTTTAGGCTTTGGTCTTTGTGAGCCTGGCCAATGCAATGCAACACACAATGAGGTCAGAACAGCCTTCCACAGCTATTGGCATGGATACCTCTTATTTTTAAAGGCCAAATCTAGACAAAGATGTTCTTCCTGAAATTTTGGCAGACACATGGCTTTTCTGACTAGGGCAATGATTGCCACTATTCTGAAGTCTGTGTTAGATAAGAATTCAGTAAAAATGGAAAAAGGCTGAAGGAAGAAAAAAAAAAAATATATATATCTTCTTTTCAGTCATAAAGGGAGCAAAAGATTTGGAGGCATTTACAGAAGACATACAGAAACCCAGTGATTTCCAAGCTGTATACATTAAATCCCTGGAATTGATGTCAGCCGTCAACAACCTGGGTCACTTCAAAGTCTAAACATGCAACCTTAATGCTTTTTTTCAGCTGTTTGTCTCATTAGAACTTCACAGATCTGTTCACAGTAAGAGGGGGGAAAAAAAAAATCTGTCAAGAAATAAAAAAGCCACCCCGCTTCCATATGCCAGGAAATTTATTAACTAACAATCTATATGCATTATACAGAGATGGTATCTAATGATTTTCATGTACCTGTCATATGTCAAACGCCATCCAAGAATTCTTAGTGCTGCTGAATTAACAAGCACACAAGGGAATACAGCTGTAGATATGCATAGATACCTATACATTCAAATCCTTAGGCAACTTCAGAATGCCTTTTTTTTTTTTTAATAACAATTGCATAAAGAAACATAAAAACGAATTAGAAGGAAGGCAAATTGGGGTGATTCACTCATCAAATGCATGGAAGAACAGCTCTATTTGAAGGGGATAGGTAAACACAAAGTGTCAACTTTCCCTCTTACCTGAAGCAAGATTAAATTTTTAAGAATTTAAGACCAAGATACAAAAATGCTCACCACTAATATATGAAATAATGTCATGGACACTCATGTATCAGTTAAATTCATTTTAAAATAACCGATTAGTTTGAAACACAATTATGTACCTAAGTCCTTACCTGTCTCAACAATTTCTCAACAGCTGACATTACCATGAGCCCTCTCCACACAACCGGGGCAGTCTCTTCTACCAAGAAACCCATAGACATGCTGCAACAACAAAGCAAAAACTTAAGCTTTCCAGCACAATACCAAGTACATCTGTAAAGAAGCTTGATTTAAATTAGAACACATGCTCACCATGCGATTCCATAGTTCTTAAGGGGCCTCAGTAGATTTTCTAAAACAGAAGCAAACAAGGTTTTTTTGGGGGGGAGAGTTGGTTTTGGGTTTTGTTTTTAGGTTTTTTTAAAGAAACAAGCTTACACAATTTTTTTTCCTTTTAAGAGCAGTTTTCCCTCTCTATTAAAAGCATTTATCCATTTTTCCCCGTCATCCCTTCAATATATGTATACATTTATCTGTTCTACCCAAGAACCTGGCCCTGCTTTTTCTTAGGTTGTTACATTTTACTGATACCGTTCACCATTTGCCAAAATAACAACGCATTTGCTCATAATATAATGTCACTTTGTGCTGCCAAAACCGACTTCATCTATTTGTACGAAATTCCCATGCTGCGAGGCATAAACCCCCTTTTAGGCAGCCTTCTACTTCTGCAATACTTCACTAAATGCTAAGTCATTTATATCAGAACAAAATCAAAGTCCTACAACACAATGGGATTTTATTTAAACTATGCTATCCACTAATCTCATGAATCAGAGGATCGTTCCCATTAACACATCAGTGTTTTGGGGAATTCTTCTCCTTATATTAAGTCTGCTTTGGAACCCCAGAGGAGAGGTACCAAATAAAGCCACCCCCAAACTACATGCTGTCAACAGCTCCGGGTAAGAAGTCCTGTATTTCTTCAGATTGGCAAAAGTCTGCAGGACTTCTAAAATTTCCGCAAGAACAAAAGATGCTTATTTGAACATTGCAGAGGTAATGCCCTTGTCATGCCCCATATTCCTTTCCAGTGTCAAGTCAAAAAAAGCAGGGGGGGGGAATATTGTGATTGTTCTGCTGGCAAAGGGGCAAGCAAGCAGAAAGTAAAAAAAAAAAAAAGACTGCATTTAAAACAAAACCTCGCAAAAGCCAAAACCTCCTGTTTATAGTCTCTGCCATCTAAATCCACACCTTACCTCAAAATGGCGCACACGCACACAAAAGAACAAAAGGAATTTTATTTGGTCTAGCTGGTTTATTTTAAGAGCGTGCACAGACAGGAACCAGCAGAAAATAGAAAGAGTATTTAGAAAATAAAAAATATATTATAATACATATTTTGACAGAAACCTTTGATGCATCCAAAGTAAAATAGATATAGTAAAATAAAAACAATGTGAATATAATGCAGTCTATTCAAAGCTGAACTCCAAATTCAGACAAAATAACACTCAAGAGTATGCAAATTAAACACCTAAACTCTACAGATGAAAGCTTTCAAGCAACCAAGTAAGAGGGCATTCAAGCCATATAATTTTGTAAAAATATGACTGAAAATAAATTGGATCGTTTGGTTTACAAATCAAAAAGAACAAAATAAGCAGCTGAACAAATCACTCGCGTGACTATTGCATTCAGGAATGAGTATGGAACTGCTACCGGAGAAGAGATGGGCTTGGACTGATGCAACTCTTCTCCACTTGCGCAGCTCTTTTCAGTGTTTAGTCAGGGCTTATTTTGGTGGCATTATACTGTCTAACCACATTCTAGGAATCACAGTCTTTCTTCTCCCCCCTGCAGTAAGATAGTTTTGTTATGAAGAGGTTGATGACATTTGAACTTCAGCCTAGAGCCATCTCTAGGCACTGCTTTGGTGTCCTTGTAAACAACATATGTACCGCCACAAGTTATAATACTGTTAGAAGTCTCGAGAAACATGACTACCTATTTACCTATGAAAGGGTTTTAAAAGAAGAAACAGGAAAAAAAGTATCTGCAACAGCATATATCACTGCAGATTCAAGGTCTGCTTCATATTTACCATGAAATAGGAACAATTTTAAGAAAAAACGAAAACAAAAAGGGGAGGCCAATCCTTGACCGCTCAGCACGTGAGGACCAGGAACTGAAGGGTAAGAAGAATGGAAAAGACATTTATTCTGAGAAAGTTCAACAAAATACTATGCCACTTCTCAGTTCAATCCAAGTGCTCTATAGTATGTCAGTCAAATATCCACAGGCTAACTTCTCAACATCCACTACCTGCATGGACCATTTCTTCTGTATAGAGCCCAGGTAGACTTACTAATCTCACAGAACAGACACACTTTCAGAGATCTCCCTTTCCTTCACCTCAGTGGGTAAAATAGGAAAGTTGCTGTGAGTACACAAACACTGACCTACAGAGTAGCCAAAAGGGCCTCTCTGTTTTCAAAACATGTGCACTGTTTATTTCTTAATGGTAGAGTTTCATTTTATGAAAACTGGATCTTACTTTCTTTGGTTAACAACAAGGACTATAAACTGCTCCAAGATTTAATCAAATTTATACAATGCATAAGAACAATTCACAACCTGCTGTATATTCCGGCTATAACGTTCTGCTTATTCTCAAAGTAATACAAAATACTGCAGAGCACCCCACTGTTTGCCTACTGCTAAAAAGCATTCTTAAGACTATCTCAGATCTAAAGTGCTTCAGTGGGCTCTGGTAATCACCCGTCTCATCAAAAGCAACAGGCATTCCTCCTCCTTCGCCCTGGGTCTCATGAAGATTTTCTAAAACATAACATGTAAAGAAGACTTAGCTTAATGAGATCTCAGTAACATCTCTGATTTCCATTGCTTTCAGAGTAAACACTTCCTTCTCTGTTATCAGATGGCTACCATACAGCTCCAAAAATCCAACATACAACATGAGATTTCTTAAAATCACAACACACAGCAATACTATGCTACCTATGCTAAGAGGTCAATAAAATATCCTTGTTTACAACTTTTCAGTAAGCTTGATGGCCCTAAATAAAAGGGTGCTGTGTTTTCTCTGAACATACAAAATCAGATCAATAAGATCAACAGAGCACCAATGAAATGTCAATAAAATGCCTTTTCTGGTAGGTTACAAGTAGGGCACTGGAAAAGGCAGACACATGCAAATTCATGACAGCACTATAGCAGATTACTGATTAAAAGAGTTCCAGGACCGGTCTTCCCCACTTCACGGGGGGAAGAATGACGTTGAAGTCATTAGGATGGATCTTCTGCATTTTGTAGTATTTTTTTTTTTTTTTAAACATTTTCCCCCCAGAAAAATCAAGCCTTGCAGACTATCCTGACAAGGCAACTGAGTCACTCCATTCTTTTTCTCTAGAAAGCCCGACATAACCATTCAATGGTGGCCATAGGTTAGTGCAGCGCAGAAAGTATGTACAGAGTTTTATATATGGTTTTGGTTGTGATAGAGTTAGATTTCTTTATAGTAGCTTGCATGGGCTTGCATGTTTTGGATTTGTGATGAAAACAGTGATGATAACACAGAGATAGTTTAGTTATTGCTGAGCAGTGCTCACTCAGAGTCACGGCCTTTTCTGCTTCTCACCCCACCCCACCAGCGAGCAGGCTGGGGGTGCACAAGTTGGGAGGGGACACAGCCGGGACACTGACCCCAACTGACCAAAGGGGTATCCCATATGATACCAGCAATAAAACCTGGAGGAAGAAGGAATTCGGAGTGATGGCATTTGTCTTCCCAAGTAACCGTTATGCATGATGGAGCCCTGCTTTCCTGGAGGTGGCTGAACACCTGCCTGCCGATGAGAAGTAGGGAATTAATTCCTCGTTTTGCTTTGCTTGTGTGTGTGGCTTTTGGTTTCCCTATTAAACTGTCTTTATCTCAACCCATGAGTTTTCTCACTTTTACCCTTCGGATTCTCTCCCCCATCCCGCTGCAGGGGGAGTGAGCGAGCGGCTGTGTGGTGCTCAGTTGCCTGCCAGGGTTAAGCCACAAGGAGACATTTCAATTCTTGGCTTAGTTTTCAGAAGAGGTCTGCTGACTGATACATTAGAGCAAGCAAAGGCTTACATTCAGTCTTATCTCATCAGGTAAGTAAAGATCATTATTCCAGAAGATTCTGATGTTATACTACACCTCCTTAGGAGGCATCATGCTGTTTAAGAAAAGCAAAGGTAGCTTATAATTATTAAATATGAATATAGTAGATCATGGAACACCCTAGCAGATCTGTTTTGAGCTCACTGACTGAGCAAGCACTAATGCAGAGGAGTTGCTCAGAGTTTTCAAGTGTCTGAAATACGGGGTAGGTTGGGGTTTTTTACCATTTCAAAAGCAAAAAAAATTTCCAAACATGAGATGAGAACCCTAGAAGCTTAGATTTTCCTCCCTGTTAAAGATTTCCTATTGTATTCAGTTATTTTTGGAACTTGCCACTATAATGGAAAATCAGAGACTTCCTAGAATGATAACTAATTATTTTACTTAACGTTTGTCTTCAAAAAAATCTCGATAGTTGAAGTCACCTGTCTGTCCTAACTGGATTTTGGTCATCAAGCAGGAAAGTGGTGCTTTTAAGTTGTTCTAAGATGGGACATCAATAGCTAAATCTATCAAAAAGTAGAACAACTGTACGATTTTCAAGTTAAAAACGTCCTACTGACCTTTGCATGCAGATTTCCAAACGTTTCCAAAGACACTACCAATGCAGAAGTGTTTGCCAGCACAGACACCACTGCAAGCTCCGGGCTATGCTCTGAATGCATCTGTTTCCTGATTCTTAGTTTTTATACAAGCCCTGTCTCTGTAACACCCATGCACCCAAGATGAACATTTTTACCTAACCACATGCTTCTGAGGTGAGGAATTATTATCTCATGTTACAGATGAGGGAATCAAGACCTGGACTGTGGAACTTGCTCTAGGTTATTCAAGAATCCTGTGGATTTGGAGACCTATGCTGTGTTCCCCCAAGGTCTGATGCTCTAACAGAGCCAAGGCTCCACCTACAGCATCTCATGTTGGAAAGCATGTAATGCACAACTGATAAACATCTAGGAGATCTAAACACTTTAGGTGCATTGCTTAAGCTACGTATTTTCCCTTGAAACTCCCAAATATATCTGAAAGAATTAAGATTTAAAAAAGCAAACTGAGGCACAAACAGTGTACAACAGAAAAGGAAAGGGACATAGGACAGGAAGATTAACAAAAAGGTTGGGCTTTACTTGTGTAAACATAGATGCCACTCTGGATGCCTTAGGGAGCTGAGATTTGTA